AGAACATGATCGTCACCTAGTGGCCACAGACAGGGTCCCTGTGTGATCTTTCTTGGTCAGCAACAAAGATGTAGTAAGAAAAGGATCTTTGGAGGAGAGGAATCTTAACTCCCACATCACTTCCCCTTGCCCAAATTTGATGTGATTTTGCCATCATCAGCTTATTCCTACAATAAGGGGCTGATAACATGAATGTGGTCAGTTGCATCCATCTTTAAGCTGTGAAATGGCAAAGGATAAAAATAAATAGTGTTTAAAATTTTCTTTTTCTTGAATTGAACCAGGTGTTTACACTATGATAAAACAAATAAAAAACAAGGCATTCTTGCTTTCTTTTAAATTAAACTTCTGTTATTTCCCTCAAAGGTTATCTACCCAAGAGATGCAGATAAAACATCTCAGTCGGAACTGGATTTGTCCAGGATAGTAGAGGAAAAGAAAAATGTAGATAAACATTTTCTTACCATCACTCTCTTGGCAGCCACTGTTGGTTGGCTGGGGGAGGAAGGAGGGAGGAAGGATAGGGAGGGAGAATCTTAGCAATGTCCACATGGGGCTGCTGAGTTAGTAAATAAGAAAATGAAAATTCTCATATGGTGCATTCTTTCAGAAATTAAGGCAGTGATGTGTATTGACTAGCTGGTATTAGATATTTTACAGTACAGGCAAGTGCTACAAAGGACCAGGTATTTCTTTGTTTGTTTTGTGAGATGGGGCAGGTTGTCTGTGTGTGTCTACGAATATGTGTTTGTGTGTGGATGTGTCTGTTGGAGGAGCAGCCTGCTGATTCATGGCAGAGTCACTTGATGGACCTAGACAAAGAAGCCTATTATCACAAAGGCCTTTGTGGGACTGGGTGTTATTGTAGCTGTTGTGTTTCCATAGCAACCTGTGGATGGGTTCAACTAGAAAGGATCCAGGGACCCTATGCATAAATGACAGAATGAAGCCCAGGGCAAGATAAAAGTGATGTAAAAAGAAATGCCTATATGCTATGTATCACACATTCTATTTTAAAATTGGTACATCTGCTTAACAAAAAATCAAGTTCACAAGGCCAACTGAGGTAATGGATGATTATTATTTATTTGACCATGACATTAAAGAATAGAAATAGAAGGTCTTGGGAGGAGTTTTCAGCTTAGGTGGAAAAGAGGAAAAGGAGTAAATCAGGTTGGGAAAGCAGATTTTCTCAAGATGCTCCTGGGGAGGTGATGCTGAATAACATGAACCAAACGAGGTGGTGGTGTTGGTTGTATTTCAAGTTCTTAATCAGAGGTTTTATATTTCTGTACCAGTCACTTCCCTGGCCTATCCAGAAGTCTAATTGAGTTCAGTAAGTAAAAAAAAAATATTATTCTTAATAAGAAAATAAAAAGTAAAAAAAAATAAAAATAAAAGTAGATATTTATCTGTGTGTTTATGATAATGTCCTGAGCATGTCTCCTCAGAATTGTGGAGACATATTGAAGATGTTCCACAGAACCAGGAACAAGGAGGCTCTTAAAGTGCCTCAGTGAATGTATTTAACCACTTGGAGGAAGTAACCATAGCAGTGCGTGCCAGAGCCAGCTCCTACCAGCTCACATGGCTACATGCCTACCCACAGTTTCCCTGCAGGGACTTTTCTATGTCTCAATCCTGATAAAGATGAGAATAGTAATAATGAACATTAAGAAATCTCAGGACAATGCTCTAGTCAAAATTTACAAAGTATTTTTACATCTACTTGTTAAAAGCAAGTGTTATTATTGTCCTTGCAGTTTATAGGGAGAACACAAAAAATAGCTGGGGTAAAAAATCTCAGAGGTAAGTGGATCGGTAGTGTCCCAATGTAGGTCTTCTGACAACAGAGTCCAGGTGAAGTCTTATTCTTTTCAGAGTACTTTTAGTTTTTAATGGAGAACTTTAATCAAGAGCCTAAAAAGCCTTTTAAAACTACAGGCTTAACTTCCCTATGTTGGGAGTATAGATAATCTTGGATCGTATCTGGAAGCTTTGCACTCAATCATCTGAGCATCCTCCCAGCATGGATTCTCCATGAATGGCCCTGCTCTCAGAGGAAGGATAGGCTGCCTGAAGATTTTGGCAGCCTGGTTTATATTAAACTTATCTCACAACATCCTAAATCAATGGTTTTGCTGTTAATCATTAGGTAGAACATTCTTTTTCTTTTTGATATAGTTTTATTGATTTCAAAGAAGAAGGGAAAGGGAGAGAGAGACAGAAACATCAATGATGAGAATCATTGATTGGCTGCCTCCTCCACCCCCCCCACTGGGGAGGGAACCCTTAACCAGGGCATGTGCCCTTGACTGGAATCAAACCTGGGACCCTTCAGTCTGCAGGCTAATGCTCTATCCACTGAGCCAAACCAGCTAGGGCTCGAACATTCTTATTAAAGGTGCCACACATAAGTATTTGCTACATCTCTTCATATACCAAGGTAAGATACTTTTTTAAAATCCTCAGTGAAGGACAAATGTTCCTGTTGATGAGAGAGGGAGAGAGGGAGAGAGAGAGAGAGAGAGAGAGAGAGAGAGAGAGAGAGAGAGAGAGAGAGAGAGAGAGAGAAAGAAGAGAAGAGAAGAGAAGAGAAGAGAAGAGAAGAGAAGAGAAGAGAAGAGAAGAGAAGAGAAGAGAAGAGGAGAAGGGAGAGGTGAGGGGGAGAGGAGTGAAAAGAAGAGGGGAGAGGGAGAGAAAGAGAAACACCAATTGGCTGCTCTCTGTATGCACCCTGACCAGGGATTGAACCTGAAACTTTTTAGCGTATGGGGTGATGCTCCAAACAGCTGAGTCATCTATCTAGCCAGTTCTCTGTAACAGTTTAATTAAAATCTATAGGATTTATTATATTCTCAGAGGTATTCATTAATGAAACAATTCTCCTTTCTCCCCTCTTCTTGACCAATGCATATGTCTTTAGCATGCTTGTCAAAAGAAATAGTAGAAATGTTTAAATAAATAAACAAAAGGAGCAAAGCAACTCTGGACAAAAGTCAGGATTCTTAGGAAGTCTTGTAATCTTGGACAAGATATGAGACTTTAACACGTATTCAACTCACATGCTGCTAATAATTTGTCAATAATAGTCAAAGAGCCTAAAGCATTTTAATTACTTTCTTAAAAATTGATTCGATAGAGAAACATTGATTTGTTGTTCCACTTATTTGTGCATTCATTGGTTGATTCTTTTACTTATTTAATTAAAAATATATTTGCATTGATTTCAGAGAGGAAGGGAGAGGGTATGAGATAGAAAGCATCAATAATGAGAGAGAATTATTGATCAGCTGCCTCCTGCATGCCCCACACTAGGGATCCAGCCTGCAACCCAGACATGTGCCCTAACAGGGCTCAAATCCGAAACCTTGGTGTATGAAGACAATGCTCTAATGAACTGAGCTACCTGGCCAGGGCCCATTTTAGTTACTCTTCATTTTTAACAGTATACCTTCAATTTTTTAGTTACTCTTCATTTTTAACAGTATACCTTCAATTTTTCATGTGTTTCTCTGAAAGCCCAGAATCAATTTATTAGTTTTCTTCAAACTTTAGGAACAGAAAAATGCAAAGAACAGAAAATGTACATATGGCCTTCAAGCAAGGTTTTTCTCTTTGTACACACTAGCAGGAAATTTTCCTGGAAAATGAGTTAGTTTGCTCACTTATTGGTTTTTTAGTGTGTGTCTAGAAATTCATTATTGAAGGGATATGAGACTTTCTTGTTATTTAGCTTTTTGTGAGACTAGCAAATGGAATCTAAACATTTATTATTTGATCATTTGCAGGGGGTGGGGGAAATAGAGGAAGCAGATAAGACAAAGAAGGAAGCAGAAAAGGAGAAGAGTAGGATAAAAATCTTTAAAAATACATTGGTTAGGCCTACCCAGTATGGTTCAGTAGTTGAGCATCAACCTATGAACCAAGAGGACACATATTCCCTGTCAGAGCACATGCCTGGGTTGTGGACTTAAACCCCAGTGGAGAGCATGCAGGAGGCAGCCGATTGATGATTCTCTCTCATCATTGATGTTTCTATCTCTCACGCTCCTTTCCTCTCTGAAATCAATAAAAATAAAATAAAATAAAAATATATTGATTGGGAAAAATGTTCACCCAATACCTACTTAAAACTAGCAGAGTAATTTCTATAATGACAACTCAAAAGAACATATTTTATCAAGACTCTAAATATTGTAAGTCCTAAAAGCCCCCTAAAAAAGATTTAATGTAATAAATGTTTTTTTTTAAATCCATAATGTCTTTTTGTCTTAACATTAAGCTTCTGTTAACTTCAACTACTATGTACTTTACTGTGAATATTTAAAATTCAAAATAAAACAAAAATGTGATTGGAAAGAAAGTAAAGAAGGTGTTTGAGCAGCTGAGAGAGCCTTCAGATTGTCACTCTAGCCCATTTACTTTTCCTTTTTATAGAAGTGACTAGGTGTCTGAACTGATGTGAGCTTCCATAGGCTTCATGAGACCATATGTTTTGTAACCCCAATAATAAACACAATACAATATTTAGGGTGGGCTCAATAAATATTTAGTAAGGAGTGAGAGGATTAGAAGAGGTATTTTGTAGTTGGGGTTGTTGGAGACAAGGACATAAGGTTGGGAGAAGTTATAGCTGACGGCCTAAAATCTATAGAAAGAGTGAGAAAATCATAAAAACCAGACATAAAGGTTACCAAATTAAAGACATACAGTCCTACATATCTTGCTAACCTCTGAGGGATTATAGCATAGGTACAAAAACAATTGCCATCAACAATAACAATTCTGAGTAATTAGGAGATATTAGATTTTTGTTTAATATTCATTTAATAAAAGCCAAGCAGCTGCACAGTGAACTTTCAGAATATTTCCCAACTGGAGAGGATATTAAAATATTCCCTCAGTTGGAAAACTTAGTCCCACCCCATGCTAGGTTTCCTTTTCAGAATGTAATCTTGATGATATAATATTGTGCACCTTAAAACAATTCCTTGGTTCTATTCCAGGGTGTCTAACTCCATGGTATCTTTTGTGGACATAGAAAATATGCTTTTTCTTTGTCTTTGTGATTTATTAAGTTTCCCAGTACAGAATTTTAATATATTCCACATATCGGATCTTCCTGTTTCAGTTATAAAACAGTACAGAATTGGATCAGCAACACAATTTAAACTTGTTAATGCAACCGTGATCCTATACATTTTATAGGTCTGCTTCCCATAGTTTTGGTTAACTATAGGCTCTAAAATGCTGCGAAGCAGCAGCATCACATGAAAGGGAGTGAAGCACAAGACAAAAGTCAACGTGATAGTAACAAGTAGTTTTATGATTCTTTTCTTTTCACTGTTTTCCGTGGCTTGATTATGTTGCACCGCTTGATAAACTTTCTGGTTGCAAACCATTATGATGACCAAAGGTATAGCATAGCCCGTACATGTCCTAAATAAGTTGTACTTAATTTGCCACTCCAACAAAGGGTATGTGTCATAGCATAGAGTAAAATTAGATTTATTGGTGTCGCAATATTCTGTAAATATCTCCTCTTCCCACAAAATGGCAGCGTTGAAGATGGTTTCTACTACCCAGATGGACAGACTGACCATGAATGCGAATCTTCCTGTTCTTAGGAAAAAGAACTTCAGAGGGTGGACAACTGCTAAGTACCGGTCCACAGCAATGCAGGTGAGGAAGGCTGTGCTGCTGTAGAAGTTCATGTTCGTGAAGAAAGCACATCCCTTGCACAAGGCAGCAGAGAAAGCCCAGTTGTCTCGATTCCAAGTGTAATGAATCCATAGAGGGAGGGTGAGAGCATACAGCAGATCGGACAGTGACAAACTGAAGAGATAAATTCCCAACTCATTTCCTTTCTTTGCCTGCAGAAAAGACACACAGAGAGATCCAATATTGGCTGGAATGCTGACTATTACCACGAAGATGTAAACAATTGGAAACAAATAATGTTCCAGGGTGTGCTGCTCATCAGTACATATGCTGTGGTTCATTTTCTTCCTTTTAACGTGGCAATGACATTAGTTCTTGAGAGCTAAACTGCAAAGCCAGTCTTGCCTCATTTAGTTTGTCCTCAACATCGAATTCTCTTTCACTTTTTAATTATCTTTGCTTCTAAACGTGCTGGTTAATTCATGAATGCTTTTAAAGAATGGGCATAGATCCCTTTTCACACAGATATCAATGGTGTGAAGTGAGGATGCAGGCACCTGGCAGTGAGCTAGTGTGGCCAGTTGATTCTGGTGGGCAGATGTCCATGTGTTTATTGTCAGAGAATGCTGGTGAAGAAACTTTCAAGGATCAATCTTTCAGAGCTTGTTGTCCTCAATTTGTTTGGCGTGAAACTCAGATAAATTTGGTGCAAACACAGATAAATTTCACAGAGATTGACATCTCTTTTTAAAATGCCTTTGTTTCTGTAATAAAAGATGAAGTAGAATAATTTAGATGTTTAAAAGATACATTGGGATTTTGAATCAATATTCTTGTACTAGAGGCCTGGTGCACAAAATTTGTGCATGGGGGAGGGGGATGTCCCTCAGCCCAGCTTGCATCCTCTCAAATCTGGGACCCCTCAAGGGATGTCTGACTGCCCATTTAGGCCTGATCCCACCTAAACAGGCAGTTGGACATCCCTCTCACACCCAGTACTTCTGGCTCCCAACTGCTCGCCTGCCTGCCTTTCTGATTGCCCCTAACTGCTTCTGCTTGCCAGCCTGATCACCCCCTAACCACTCCCATGCCAGCCTGATTGATGTCTAACTGCTCCCTTGCCAGTCTCTTTGCCCCCAACTTCCCTCTTCTGCCAGCCTGGTCACCCCTAACTGCCCTCCACTACAGGGATGATCGCCTCCAACTGCCCTCCCTTGCAGGCCTGGTCCCTCTCAACTGCCCTCCCTTGCAGACCTGGTCCTACCTAACTGCCTTCCCCTGCTGGCCATCTTGTGGTGACCATCTTGTGTCCACGTGGGGGCAACAATATTGTGTGTCGGAGTGATGGTCAATCTGCATATTACTCTTTTATTAAATAGGATAGAGGCTTGGTGCACGGGTGGGGGCCAGCTAGTTTGCCCTGAAGGGTGTCCTGGATCAGGGTGGGGGTTCCCTTGGGGTGTGGGGCAGCCTAAGCAAGGGGCCTGTTGTGGTTTGCAGGCCAGCCATGCCCCCTGGTGACCCAAGCAGAGGCCCTGGTATCTGGAATTTATTTACCTTCTACAACTGAAACTTTGTAGCCTGGAGTGGAGCCAAGCCTTCTGCTCCCTCTTTGGCTGCTGCCATTTCTGTTTGAATTTGTTTACCTTCTATAATTGAAACTTTGTAGCCTTGAGTGGAGGCCTGGGCCTGCCAGGATGTATGGAAAGCTTGCTTCCTCCGTTGCAGGGAAAACCCAAGCCTCCTTCCTGGTAGCCATCTTGGTTGGGTTTATTTGCATACTTGCTCTGATTGGCTGGTGGGTGTAGCGGAATGATGGTTAATTTGCATATTACT